CACAATATGAGAGTGGTTTCACATTACAGACATTTTGTGACGAGTAGGCTGGAAGAATGTTCGATGACTGGCACAGGAATGCGGCGTTTAGATCATCAACATCCACCTCTACTTTCGACCATACTTTCTTCCTTCCACTGAGAAGTCTTATACCTTGCCGCAGGTGCTTGCTGTTTGCAGTTCTCAGAATTCGATCAGAGAATAATGCGTTCATCTAGTTACTTCAGCTTTGATAAGCCTGGATTGATACCGAACAGCTGAAACATTGTGAGACTTGTGGGCAGGTCCCTTTTGTCGTCGTGGCGACTTGAGTTGGAAGAGTTTATCCTTACGTTGGACAGATGAAGGCTTTGAACAGAACAGTAGTAATTATAAATGGGATTGATTATTCGAGTGAACAGCAGGGCACATGTGAATAGGGAAGAAGAAGATAATGAAAACCATAAAGAGGCCTTTCTGAGAGATTCATTCAGGAGAGAAACACGTGTACGTTGGAAGATATCATAACGAAATTTGATGCGGTCAATTCGGGAGAGATGTTTGTGTGCACTGTGTGAATAAAGTTTAAGTCGTGCGTATGACGAAAACCTAATGATGTAACGTTATTTGTTCACGCACAGAACCTGGTCGTAAGTCTATTAGAGTATAATGAATGAACATCTTTTCATAATTTGAATGATAGAGTGGAATATCCTCGAATAGATATTATGTCTTGACAATGCTCGGTATGAGCGCCATTTGACTGGTCCCCAACATTGATACGGAGAGAGAACACGGCTGAGAAAACGACGGTTTGAGCACATTATTGATCATTACACAATACGCAATTATATGTGGCAGATTAATCGTACGAGAAACGATATGATGACGAACCAATCAGATAGCGGCATTGATACTCCGGTTGATCGATCGGACGACAGCTGTCTGATTTGCCTCAGTTATCCAATCCGGAATCGATTAGGCTTGGGCGTCACGAACGCACTTGTGGTGTGACGCAGGTCGTTGCGTGGCCTAACGGGTTCTGCAAGCTCCGTGCTAACACGTGCATGAATCAACATGAAATTTATTCAAATCGAGTTGAGTTATACAGTCCATGGTTATCCAGCTGGTCAAATCGCTTAACCTGATACGGTTTTCTTCCCTGATCCATGTTGTGAATAGCGGCTGGACGTAAGTTATGTGTATCTATAAGTTCTTGAGAAAGTGTTTTTGCAATAGAGACTACTGAATTCATTAAGGTAAATTTCATCAAGTCAAGCAATTTGAAGAAGAGGTACAAGAATAACATGTCATCGAGA